GAAATATTGAAGCCATGTGTATAGCCCAATCAACTTAAAAAATATGGGCAAGGTTAAAGTTTCCGTGGACAGACAAAAGTACATAAACATAGGAAACAAAATATGTATAAATAGTCAAATGAAAAAATTTTCTACTATTATGGAGTCATAAGATCAATTGTCATTTCAGGTACAGGGAGTCAGTGGCTAAGGAGATCAGACCCCCCCCCCCCCCCCCCCTGTAATTAGCAGTTATTTAAATAAGACTATATATGTACTGTAGAGAATAAAAATGACTTTGGACATCCTCCCCCTTAGAAAACAGGGACTCCACCATCATTGTTTTTATTATTATTTTTTATTTCCATCTCAGGAAATCTTGGGCTGATTTTTTTGACTGAGGTGTGACACCCCCCCCCCCCTTTCTGAAAAAAAAATTCTGGATCTGCGTCTGTTATATACTGAATGTCCGCAACGGGAGATAACTTGACAATGTGAAATTTGTCGACTGTGGCATGCGATGATCTTTGACCATGTTGACCCTTTTTGAACTTCAACCTAACCATTTGCATTTATTTATTTTTATGCAATCTATACTAAATCTTGTACTTACCGAATGTCATAGGTCGTGACAACGAATTCATGAAATATAATCCATATAATCCAATTAAAACACAAATGATTTTAACTGACCACACTGCATCGTCAGCATACATGTGCTAAATAATCTCATTCGACAAACCTTTGCTGATTCCGTTGTCAGTATGAATTGGCCGAGGTGTGCCGAGAGGTGATATCTATAAATATGATAATGGGTGACGCAAACCCAATGTGAATGTAGAAAATAAAACTGTTTAGTACAAGAACAAATTTCAAACTATTATAATAAACTAAACTATGTTTTTTAAAAAATGTGAGAGTGAGAGAGAGAGAGTGTGTGTGTGTGTGGGGGGGGGGGGGGGGGAGATAGGCATTGACAAATTAATCGGGTTGTATTTTCAATGGGTTTTTTTCCCGACCAAATACTAAAATCAGTTTGCACATTTTGATAAATTCATCAAAAACGCTTTGTACTAAAATAATATTTTATGTGGTTGAGAAAGTAAATTTAAAAAGTTCCAAATTATGGGAAAATTATTTATTTGAATCTAATTAAGTAATTTACTTCAATCATTAATTAAATTCTGTTATTTCAGACTGGTTATGAATTAAGTATTTTAAAATACATATGTGAGGCTCAGAGTTGATATGGTCATCTGAAAATTTTATGTTCAATTTGACGAATACATGTACGGTGATAATTATAGAATTATTTTGACTTCTTCCTTGGAAAGTCCAATATGAATGAGTGTATATTTAGAGGCAAACACCATAGTGCGGGTATTACTGTCTCGTGACAGCATCTAGTTTATATTTACATCTGTATAAAAACATTCAAAGTAAAATTAAATATGTTAAATATTGTATAATAGACGTATCAGTCATTGTATGCATAACTGATAAAACAGCCGTTGTTTAGAAAATCTATACATGCATGTGACTTGCTTAGTGTCGTTAATGGACTGATTAATGGCAATGATCTTCATAAGAAATAAAGGAAATAATATTTAAATTTATAGTGTTTGTTTCCAAGCTTATTCGGTTAGCCAAAAAAATAATAATAATCAGAATGCATTTATCTTTAAACCATGCCAAATTACTTTTAAAAGTATATGTTGCAGATATTTGAGCAATGGGTGATTTTATTTATTTATTTTTTTTTCGTCCATCACCTAGCTACTGCGACACAGGACCTCGGTCTAATCCGAATGGCAGTTCACCACGTTCTATGTACCAGCGACATACATGTAAGAACCCAATCCCGCGACTGTAGTGCTAAAGGTTCTAACCAATACGTCATCCGTTCAATTTTGATTTTAAAAAAAATCAGTCCTTTATGGGTTCAAAACTTTGGTTTGTAAATATTTAGTATGCAAATAAGAGGAAAAAAGTATTAAAAACTGCATAAGTAAGTAAAAAATCAAAAACATGTCCATGATCATCTCCGACTTAGGGCATACCGGCAAAAATGAAATGTGAATAGAAAATTTTCCTCTGAAAATTGTACAAAAGTTTTTTTATATATATATTTTAAAGCCCTTCAGACACCATATTAAGCCATTATTCTAGAATAGATTTTTTGACATGATATATGCTTTTTAAAAGCAGAAATGAGCTACAAGTGAGGTATTTTGTCGAAAGAAGACGTACTCCAAAACCATGTTGACAAATCCTAAATCCGTGCAATTTTGCACATCTAGTTACTTAATGAAGGATTCATTAGGTGCACATCAATTCTACTCAAAATCTTGGTGATTTGAAATGTTTTACATGGATGTCGATTTAAAATGTGTTTTAGAAAAAAAAATCTGAAAAGATAAAAAAGCTATTGATATTAAAGCGCAGTTACGTGCTCAAACCTACGTAACCTTCTTTCTTTCTCTCTCTCTCTCTCTCTCTCTCTTTCTCTCTCTCTCATTTTTTTAATAAAGTTCTTTGAATTGTATATGTCCCCATCCTCTGCCCGATCAAAGAACTGTTGTAAATGGAGTTATATATTTTCCACATTTTTCTTTTAATAAATGTCATAAGTGGACATTTCAAAATTAAAATGAACAATATGAAAGGAAACCAAAATTTTACTTTAAGTTCAAGCTACTTCCGGGGTATGATATATGGCAATGATATTAGTATTTACAGCGCCGCTTATCAGAGCACAACAAAGGTCACATGGCGGGTATGATAGATTGGGACAGATGATGCTTACTTACGCAGGCACCTGATTCAATCACTGATTTCCTAAGGGATCTAATTAAGTTTGTACTGCACTTATGTTGTTTTCTTGGATAGTTTAGCTTGATTACTGTTTACTATAATTATGATCTTTGCATTTTATTTTAAATAATAGATTCACTCATGGCGACATTTTAGTTTAAACATGTATTTCTTTGAAGAGCAAAGTTGGATGTTAAGCTACCCAAGTTGAAGAAAGAACTTTAATTTATAAGAATATTATTTTTCCTTAGGGAAATAGACACAAGAAACATTTACTGAATAAATTTATCATCTTTGTAGGATCTTTCTGGGATTCAGAGCCTTATAATCGTCAAATTCCCTTATTCATGCAGCAACATTTACCACTTGCATACGGTGTATATATCTATCAGTTGATTCGATATGCAAGAGCCTCTCTATGTTCTCTACGTATGAACAACTTCTTAAACCAGGTAAGTGACAGACAAATTGCTGAATCAAGAATAGAGACTTTCTGTTATCTCCATAGATGTCATACAACACATTTTTTAAAAAATGGGCAAAAAATTTCGTTCATTAGTCATCTAAAGAGATTTCGTGGACATAAACTTTCGTTGTTCCGAAATCAAACCAATGCAAAATATAGTCAAATAAAAATTTCGAGTGGGGATTTATTTTCGGTGATAATTGTTAACAACGAAATAGACGAAATTTAATCCTCCGCGAATATTTCTGCTTCTACAGTAAATATAAACAAAATTAGATTTAGAGTGTTTCTGGTTGACCTCAATTGATAATATTGTTTGTTTCGTGAAATAAAATATACTTTGCAATAGATTTTTACCTAGTTTTATAGTTGAATTTGTTATGTAAAGCCAAGATTAACAATTAAAGTCAACAAGTATATTTGCACAGTTTTATCACAACTTAAATCGGTGCTTCCAAAACCTTATGACATCTGCGTTCAATGGTCAAAAAATCTTATTGTAGTAAGGAGTGGAAAAGTATACGCCCTCTTGAAAAGCAGGTGGTATATAGTGATAGGGATGTCCGCCCGTGTGTACAGTCATCTGTTACGCTTTTGGGTACCGATCGCTCACACCCGCCGTGTGCTCCATATCATGATCGGGTAATGGCTTAACAATGAATATGAAAAAACAGTCAGTCAATATTTGACTCAATAATAAAATGTATTTGCTGATAAGGTCATTGTATCAACAAAGCACTTAAGAAAATATGACTTTAAACGAGATTGCTGATATTCTTGCTTCATCAACTCGTTTAAGAAATTTTTCATATCTAGAAATTCTCTTCTGTATGAAATTAACTGATAGTTATAAATTCTGTATGCAGGTGAAAAAGGAATATTGTTGCATAAATACAACATGTATATAATAAGAAACTCAAATGATGTTATCATTTTTATCTCTGACAAGTATTTAAGTTTTAAAAAAAAACCCAAACATTTCTTCTGATTGTGTAGTTTTTTAATTTCTTTTAGAACGCAGTACTTATTTTTTTATTAAAAGTTTTTAAAAATAAAAATCTCCGGGTTTTTTTAATTTTAAACAATTGAAACTTTGGAAATATTAACAATAATGTATATTCAATATAATTTAAAAATTTAAAAAAAAAAGTAAGTCAAAGTGGATTAAAAAAAATATTGATTTGCTAATATTCTTTTTTAATTCTCTCATGAAGCAATTTCGTAAAAGTGACCAATAAGTTTATAATGTGTTCCATAAATTGAAATTTGAACACGATACTGACTATATAAGGGGAGGAATTCAATAGACTGAAGTTTTTATATTATGTTTCTAAATTTCTATAAAAAAATTTTCTTGGTGTTCAGATGAAACTACTAAAGATAAATAACAAAAATTTTGTTTGAATGTTTGTGTCGTACTGTCATTCAAGGCCTATGCTTTTATTATATATTTGAATTTTGAGATTTTCAATTCCGATAACTCAAAAATTCTAATGTCTCTAGATAGACTGGTTAAAAATATTTTTTTTTTTTTTGCGTTTCCAAAAATTTGTTTTCGTTGCCATAAAAGTAAAAGACACTAATCGTTTGCTTACATGAACCATGATTAAGAATTTAATATGCTCGTATATTTGTTGAATAATTTGGTAAAGTAGTAGACATATCATATGATAAGATATAGTAAAATGTCGCATTAAAATGGACCAGTTTTTGTAAATTGAACATCAAATTGTTCATTTAGGATTACATTCGAAGTAACAAGCCAACAAAGAATGTCAAGCCCATTGTCCAGGAAATAGTCAGGAATGGTATAAAAGCACCTGCTCCGTTTTGAGGCCGTGAGGTGGTATGACCCGCTGCTGTAGTATTGGTGGTAGCTTCTCGCCTTTGTACATGTTTCCGATCATGAGCGGCTATAGTAAAATAAAGCCAATGAATAAACTTATTACCGAAAAGCGTTCGAATTATTTTGAATTTAGAAAATTGTTTTACAAGAAAAATGTTTATATACACACCAGCACTGACTACCAAGGAAACTAAAAGGACAAGAAAAATGACACTCATCAATCCCTTGACTGACATCTGTAATTAAAAAGACCAAAAAAATGTTTTAGGTGTATTAAATGTGCTTTTAGAAAGTTTTTTTGACGAAAAAAAGATATAGCGGGTATTCATCATAAAAGATACATATGCGAATTGAAAAACTCTTCTTTTTTTCTTTTAGGAACATAATGCATGTACGTTTGAAAATTGCTTTTGTTAATTAAATATAGGTGTAAAGCAATGATTACAAAATCCTTCGATTCCTTCTTTTAAGGATATCAGAAGCAATTCAGCAGATTTATTATAAATTATTGGTCATATAATATTGAAGAAAATTTGGAAATGAGAATATTTTAGGTTCGAACCTACCTTTGAAAGAAATCTTTTCAGTTTATCTGCTTTTCTATTAATTTTCTGGTTACGTATTGAATTACATACTAATTTCCATGTCCTAACAACCAATCAAAGAGCTTCAATGTACCTTCCGTCTTTTCGTAATCTCAATACTTGGTCATCAAATGTCCTTTTCTTTCTTTTGAGTGACAGGTGGGATTACGTTTATTTGTGCTGCGAGATTGAAAAATATTAAAACATTGGCTTAAGTGTTTTGAGTGATTTTTTTCGTTTATCTCACTTACATTTTATCCAGATATTTATATCATTATTATTTGCTTCCTCATTATAAACATTATTGAATGTTCAGTAGTCAGTATAATTATATAGAACGACATCTACAAATAAAAACAAAATTCAGAATATCAACATTTTACAATATTGTCGACAACACATTTGCTAAATCCATAAATTGAATAGAATATCAAACAAGGATATTTTATAAAGTCGTGTGTCAGATAATGGTTTGTGGAATTTGATCACGTGTCCAACTCGTATTGATATCACAATAGATGTTTGAAAAAATATACCCCGGTACCTTATTTCTGTATTTAAATCGCCTGATAAAAAGGGCATAATACAATTACAATTTTAGTACAATTTTGTTGTCAAAATCGTTCGCGAACATATTCATAGTTGTTAACCTGGTTCCAACAAATAAAAATTTTACCATTCGTGTATATATATCATTTTGTCCACCTGTGATGCCACATTTTATGGCCATGTTTTATTATATATATCTTGTATATATGTACATTTATAAATGTGCGATGGTCAATTTCTATTGATCCTAAGAAGTTTTTTTCTAAAAATCTTCTGTCTTGACAGGTATATTCAACTGCTTGCACAAAACTTCATCTTTCTATTTTTTGCAAAAGTGTGATAAAAATTATAAAAACTGGTTCAAATAAATATTCCTGATGGTGAAAGTTCTATGATATTTGTTTCTTCTCTTTTTAGAATTGTGTTAAATTGGTCATTAGAAGTTCAATAATGTATACTGAATGAAGATAAATGAAAGGAGAGAGTTGTTGCATTTATCAAATTCTTTTAAAGATCGATTAAATAAAGAAAATATTCAATTTTAAATTCTTTTACTGAACAATACTTTATAATTCACCTACTAGTATTGAAAAGCATTCGTCCAAAAATATTCATTGTACTTTCATTGGGTATCATGAATATGAATTAAAAATGGACTACTGATTTTGAAACTGTTCGTTGTCTCCATATGTTTCATTCATAATAACAGATTTTGCGAAAACCTATGACGTCACAGGAGGATGGAAATACCTTACTAATAAGTCCTGGGAACATGTTTTTCGTTCTTGACATCTCATGCCCTTCTTTTTAGAATGGGAAAATGTCATACACGATGAATTATTTCTAAATACACAAAAGAATGTAAGTAACAGTAGGAGACAAAATTTGATATACGCTTTTGTCAAGTATAATGCTTATATTGCTGTGTTGATGTGGAGATATGTTACAAAAATTTAATTCTACTTTTGATTTAAAACAAAATAAAACTACACCTGCATATGTAATCTTAGAGATTACATAGTTTCTTTCTGTCTTGACAATATAACGGTTGTATTAAGAAATATAAAACGTGTATATGTAAATTTTACAAAGGATTTGTTATGAAGTACTGTACACAAAATTATTCCTTTAAAGGGGCATAGACACAGATTCAGATGAAAATTTTATTTTAATTTTTATATATAAAATAGTAAACTTATGTATTTTTAATGATTTACCAAATTTTGAAAGTTAGAAGTTGTGTTACAAACGAGAGACAGAGGAAAGATGTTGTTATTATGTAAACAAAGCTCGAGTCCTGTTATTGTTTACATGTGTGTTGTATTGGTGTAAGTTTCTATCTAATGTGGATTTTTTTTATTCATAAAATTATTTATGAACATATTGAATGAGTTTATCTCGTTTCCACAAGTTATTTTGTCAAATAAATGGTATTTTATTTACTTTATATTATTTGTAAACAAATATAAGACTCGTGCCTTGTTTACATAATAAAGACTTCTATCTTCGGTATCTCGCTTGTAACAAAACCTCTAGCATTCAAATTTTGGTACATCATTCAAAATACACAAGTTAACTGTTTTATATATATACAAATCAAAAATGAAATTTTCATCTGAATCTGTGTCTATGCCCCTTTAAAGCACAACTCCATTTAGAACAAAGACAATAAAGACAATAAATAACGATTATATTTCAAACAAAGATGATAAACACTTTGTTTGTATGTTGTATATGAGGTAGGTGCTACAGAAGGACAAAAATTTGCAAAAGTTACAATACATGTAACTAGAATAAAGAAACTTAATAAAATTTTTTTCGGTATGGTTGTATTTATCAATGAAAAGTTGCAGATACAAATATTTATCAAACCCATAAATGGTATTAGCAATACTTGTACAAAATAAAAGCTTGGCAAGAATACGAACTTCTAAAAATAACTTAGGTGAAATCAGGTACCATGAAGGAGGATGCATTCCCCATAAACGGAGCACACCGCAGTGAGCTCTTTGTGTTGATTAATTACAGTTATAAATTAACATATAAGCTGAATTTAACAAAAATAATAATTAAGCTAAAACTCAATTCAAACAATATAAATCGGGAGGAGAGCAAACACCGACCTCCAAAAACACCACACTTGAGATAAGGGGCCATGGAGGATTGAACATTCCCTGTCGACTTGTCTCAGCCGCCGTGTACTCTTTGTCAAGATTGATATAAATCCTTGGGCAATTCAGTGCGTAAATAATGTCAAACAATTAGTATGAAAAGTGTCTATCAGCATTTAAATTAAAGGTTGGTTGTATTTGCTGACAAGGTCATTTCATCGACTATTAAACTTGCAAAATGATGACATCAAACGAGATATTGTTGATATCATGGGTACATCAACTTTTTTGTCAATAGTTTGCCTCATTTTAGGATTTATCAATACATGTACGTAGAGTATGATCTTTCGTATCGAATCAACTGCAAAACATTAACTCCATATGCAGGCTATAAACGTATTTTGCTACTCAAGTAAGGGAGAATAACGATAAGCGTTATGTGCACGTCAAAATAAAATTTATTTCATAAATTCTTTACAGAAAAAATAAATACTAGTACTTGGTTAAAGACATAAACACGAGTTTTTTATGATCACTTCATAAGGCATAATCAAAACAAAAAAACTCTACAAAGAAGAAGCTAGCTTCGATAGTCCTCACACAAACTTCATTACACAAACTCCGATCACAGACATGAATATGAGGGACAACTTCGAAAACATCAGTTTAGAACCAGCTCCTCTCTGACCGGCAGTATTATTTGTGGTGGTTGTATAATATGTCCTAGTTGTGCTTCTATTTCTTGGTGTAGTCATTGTATGTCTTGCTGTAGTCGTGGTTGTAGAAGCAGGTACTGGAGTTGTAGCATTAGATCCTTCGTTCCTTTCTGAATAAAAATATGAATTCTTCTATCAAAATATGAATTCTTCTTTTTTCAGTTCAGAAAATCTAATATATAAATGGTGCCTGTTTTGGAGGGTAACAGTTGAAATTGACACCCCAAGGAAAACTATTGTCAACCTCCCCTTACGCTTTGGTTGACAATGGGGTGGCAATTTCAACTGTTACCCTCCCAAACAGGCACCATTTATTTTATTATACTGAATGTCTTCTTAAATTAAGTCAGCAAAAAAAATCATCGATCATCTTTACGTTCACGTTTAGAAAGCTTTCAAACTCCTCGCTACTTCTAAAAAGATTTACTGACCTTTTTATTGTTTGTTTGATACTCTAAGAGTCTTTAATCATATAAAGTTTCGTTATTTCTGCACTCGCAAGCATGTTTCGTCTGTCGTTTGTTGTTTTCAAGTAAGCTACATCGGACGCAAGCTTTTATTGACGTCAAGTTTGTTCCAGTTCTTTCAAACGCGCAACTGACGTTTTGAGAATTCTACGGTGAACCGTACGCGCATAATATCCACGCATGTGGCATTACCGTTGTGTTACCCGTTGTCACATGCGTTGCTAAGGCTGAGGGTAATAGAACGGATTGTTAACTGCGTCTAAACCAATCAGATTTTAGTATTTAACATGGAAGTATAATAATTATAGATGTTATATGTTTCTTTTCAGATTGTCTCAAGTCAATATGGTAATACTACATAATCTTAAACTACTCCATACATTTTTTTTATTTACTCTCCGAGAAGCTAAAAAATCTGAACCCTTTTGAAAAGTTTATTAACATTACAAAACAATATTTTAAAAATGGCTTTAGTAAATACTTTGAAACTTCGACATTTAACCGTAAAACTTTACTCAGAGACATTTAATGAAGTGATCAATTTTACTCTGGTAATTTTAGATAATATTTCCAGGATTTGCTCTCAATCAAAGAAGGTTGTTTTTTTCAGCAAACAAGAAATTGAGTAAGAAGTCATTTCATTTTTTAAAAGGGTTGGGGTGAGGGTAACTAAAATTTCTTGATAAAAAAAATAGAGATATTGAACATTAATTTTGTTAGCTAAAAAGTTCATTGAAACAATACACTTTTAGAACAAGGCAAATATGGATCTCTTGAAACCCAGGTGTCATGAATGAGAAAGCATCCCCTGTCGACCGGTCAAAACTGCAATGTGCCTTGTAGGTAGGATACTTATATTACTACAGCAATATTCTCAGATTAATATTGCTTGTTTTATCAACGTGTTTGTCAAAATCTTGCCATGTTTTAGAAATTGTTCATGCCTAAACCATGCTCTTGTGTTTCGAATCAACTGGGAGACACGCAGGTGATAAGGGTATATTGATATACAAATAAGAGAGATTGACGATGGAAAAGTTTAGGTAACCACGTTCGATTATCATAAAAAATTGTTGTTAAAATAAACGTAGAAAAATATCAACAACCATCTTTTAGGAGGACAACATTTAACAGGGTATGAATGCTAACTTGTCTAAATTCATTTCGTGTAAAAATTACCTTAGCATTGTTTCATTGTTATAAAACAACTTAATTTTCGTAACAATTTAAATAATTTACCTAGAACGCATGTTACTATGACCAGAAGAACAAGGAACAGTCCACTGTTATGCAAATTCATCTGTAAAGATATTTTAAAATTTTTATTTAAGAAAAATAATAACACATGCAGTAGTATGAGAGGGTCATTTTTTTTTTTGAGAATCGTAGCAAAATTAAAATGGCAAACCAAATCGCGATGATATAAAAATGTGCATTGATTAATTCAATCTTTTAAAATATCTATTTTCTGTCCTTTCATCAATAAATATCCATCTATATCTGGGACATCTTTACTTGCATTTCCATGATTTTACCCCCTCTTCCCTTTCTACTTCCATTAATGAAAAAGGGGCTTTTGGAATCAAATTAAACTTTTATTATTTAAAGTACAACTGTAAAAAACGAAAAAGAAAATAGAATATGTTTAATTATGCTCACCTTTAGCTGATTTCTTGGAACTTTCACGAAAGAATGCTCCATACCTTATATATACATGCACCAGCTGAGATTAGAATAATAAATTTTTTTTTTCAGTATTGCCAACTGACTTGTTAAGCAACCAGAATTGGAATAACACATCTTACATTACCTTGAAAAAAGTGCAAATAACTAAAATCAAGGCACCAAAGGATTATGCTTTGATTTATTTTTCTTAAATTGGATATTGAATTTATATGATGTTCGGTTTTCGTTGGTAACAAGAGAAAATATATGGATGGCTAAGTCCTAAAAGTCAAATAAGAGTCACTATCTTTATTTTTCATCTTTTTACCAAGATAAATACGCAGCCAAAACACCCTCCAAAATCTTTATCTAAATCTTGTGAAGATTAATATTGCTTAAAACAGACATAAACTATCTCTGATTCAAAGGAAAGTAACAGTTTTCAAGCTCGCCAAAAAAGACTTAACAATACAATTGTTTGCACAACCTTTACAGGGTTCGATAACTGTAGCTATTGACTTGAAATAGCATATCTGGACTACAGAACATTGCTGTTTTAAAGAAGTCATATTTTGTTTTTGTCTATCTTACTCCTCTACATTTTTTTCCTGTCATTCTACTTGTAATTTGGTCATACTTACTTACTATCTTTGGAATATATTTGATACTGAAAATATACCATAACATATCAAGATTATGTAAAACATTGCATGTAATCCTAAATTGTCTTTTGAAAATAGAACTTTCTCCTTTAATGGAAATGAAATATCGAGATAACAAACAGCATTCAAGCTCATAAATCCATAAAAAACAAATCAGGAGCAGAGAAAACACAGATTTTTAAAACATCAGAGGTGGAATCAGGTGTCGTGGAATAGTGGGTATTACCTGCCGACAGGTCACACCGGCTTGTGCTCCTCGTCATGATCAGTGTATAAATAAGAGCCTACCAATTAGTATGAAACTTCATTAAGTTTTGACTAAAATGAAAAATTACATTTTATGACAAGGTTCCAGAGAACTTGTCAATGACTTCAGACGAGACTGTTTATATTCTTGATTCGTCAATTGTTTTTTTTTTCTTCAATGTCTTGATTTGTTTTTAGTTTTGTTCATATGCAGAGCATACTTTTGTGTATCGAATCAACTGAGAGTCAACGAGTCCATGTGCAGGTGATATGAATTGCTACATAAGTTAGGGAACTCGACGATTGAGAAACTTATTACGTTTATTATTATTATTATTATTACGTTTATTATAAGACTTTGTTGCTGGGTAATGTTTTTTCCTAGTAAATATCCTTATACAAGAACTTCAGATTCTATGCTATATTTCATTTCAAGATCACTGGGATATGGGGTCGCGTGTGGCCTGTCGACAGGGAATGTTCACTCCTTCATAGCACCCGATCCCACCTCTGATGTTTTGAATTGTTTTATGGACTTTTGGGCTTGAATACTGTTCATTATCTCCATATATTCCATGCTAGTATTTTACTAATTTCTCTTAAGAACTTAAAGCATCTGTTTTTGTTGTTTTCCATATTTCATATACTAGTATTCACAGATTCAAAACATATTAATCTAACGAAAACATATTTGTAGTTTTTAGCTCACCTGAGCTGAAAGCTCAAGTGAGCTTTTCTGATCACCCGTTGTCCGTCGTCCGTCCGTCTGTAAACTTTTCATATTTTCAACTTCTTCTCAAGAACCACTGGGCCAATTTTAACCAAACTTGGTACAAAGCATCCTTGGGTAAAGGGAAATGTAAATTGTTAAAACCAAGGGCCAAGACCCCTTCCAAGGGGAGATAATCAAGAAAATAAAAAAAACTAGGGTGGGGTCATTAAAAAATCTTCTTCTCAAGAACCACTGGGCCAGAAGAGCTGAAACTTATACGAAAGCATCCTGAGGTAGTGTAAATATTAAATTGTTAAAATCATGACCCCCGGGGGTAGGGCGGGGCCACAATAGGGAATCCAAGTTTTACATATAAATATAAAGAACAAATCTTTAAAAATCTTCTCCTCAAGAACCACTGGGACAGGAAGGCTGAAACTTATATGGAAGCATCCTTGGGTAGTGTAGATATTCAATTGTTAAAATCATGACCCCCGGGGGTAGGGCGGGGCCACAATAGGGAAGACAAGTTTTACATAAAAAAACATATAACAAAACTTTAAAAATCTTCTCCTCAAGAACCACTGGGACAGGAAGGCTGAAACTTATATGGAAGCATCCTTGGGTAGTGTAGATATTCAATTGTTAAAATCATGACCCCCGGGGGTAGGGCGGGGCCACAATAGGGAATCCAAGTTTTACATAGGAATATATAGAACAAATCTTTAAAAATCTTCTCCTCAAGAACCACTGGGCCAGGAAAGCTGAAACTTATGTGAAAGCATCCTTGTGTAGTGTAGATATTAAATTGTTAAAATTATGACCCCCGGGGGTAGGGCGGGGCCACAATAGGGAATCAAAGTTTTACATAGAAATATATAGAACAAATCTTTAAAAATCTTCTTCTCAAGAACCACTGGGCCAGAAAAGCTGAAACTTATATGAAAGCATTCTGGGGTAGTGTAGATATTAAATTATTAAAATCATGACCCCCGGGGGTAGGGCGGGGCCACAATAGGGAATCCAAGTTTAACATAGAAATATATTGGACAAATCTTTAAAAATCTTCTTCTCAAGAACCACTGGGCCAGGAGAGCTGAAACTTATGTGGGAGCATCCTTGGGTAGTGTAGATATTAAATTGTTAAAATCATGACCCCCGGGGGTAGGGCGGGGCCACAATAGGGAATCCAAGTTTTACATAGAAATATATTGGACAAATCTTTAAAAATCTTCTTCTCAAGAACCACTGGGCCAGGAAAGCTGAATCTTATTTGTAAGCATCCTTGTGTAGTGTAGATATTAAATTGTTAAAATTATGACCCCCGGGGGTAGGGCGGGGCCACAATAGGGAATCCAAGTTTTACATAGAAATATATAGAACAAATCTTTAAAAATCTTCTTCTCAAGAACCACTGGGCCAGGAAAGCTGAAACTTATGTGGAAGCATCCTTAGGTAGTGTAGATATTAAATTGTTAAATCATGACCCCCAGGGGTAGGGCGGGGCCACAATAAGGAATCCAAGTTTTACATAGAAATATATATATAGAACAAATCTTTAAAAAAAGATCTGCATCACCCAAGTTACTCAGGTGAGCGATGTGGCCCATGGGCCTCTTGTTACGTACTAATATTTTAAAACAAGATCAAATACCCGTTTCTTTTAGTTAATGTGATCAATACAATACTCAATCTTTTATAAGTAGTCGTTTTTAGGCCTTAAGCTAAAATCAAGGTTAATATATTTTATTTCCATCGAATTTCTTTGATCATAGGTGTTTTAGTTAGGTTAACTTGTTCCACTCTCAGTTTCTTCAAATAAAACTTTCATAACTTTTTCCAGTTTTTATAAAATACTACATACACGATCTCAAAGTTGTCATTTAAAGAACATATTAAATTTGTCTTGCGATAAGGAATCAATACCTTCCATGTTAATTTAGTGCTTCAATCACTTCCTGTTGTTGTTGCATGATTTATAAGTACATTTATTTACTACAAAGTTACCTGTATGGACATATCCTTGTGATAGTATTTAAACAGATTTTGATTTTCATTAAATCACTATCAATATCAATTGCTATAATACGTGTTTTGTATAATCTGTATTTATTTTTAGAGTTAATTAAGCAGCTCGAAGATTGTTTTAAAAAGTTTGAGATAGCATACTTTGATTTCTTCTGCTTTTTGACAGTTGCTGCTTATATGGCGAAATAAATGTTATCACAGTATGAAAAAAAAGAATGTTGAATTGACATCTATTTCATCTTGTTTTTCTTAGGCGGATACTGCTACCATACAGTTAGGGATATATTAATACTATAAATGTATAAAGACTGCTTGGCGATATGGCTATATCGTTGAAACCAAAATTTGAAAAACTGCCTGAATCAGATAAATCCGTTAAAAAGTTTATAAGTTCTCTTATATAAAAGGTAGGTTATATGTACTGTAATTTTTTACATTCAGTATAAAAAATCTTTATGGAATGTTTTTGTGGAGCTCTCTCTCTCTCTCTCTCTCTCTCTCTCTCTCTCCTCCTGAAGTACATTCAGTATAAAAAATCTTTATGGAATGTTTTTGTGATTCTCTCTCTCTCTCTCTCTCTCTCTCTCTCTCTCTCTCTCTCTCTCTCTCTCTCTCTCTCTCTCTCTGGTATTAAGATATATCTATTAGTCAACGAGATATCTCTTTAAGCTAAAGAGACATCTCTCTATGCTAGAGAGATACATGTATCTCTCATATTATTGAAAGAAAATTTTTATTTCACGAATGAATAGTAAAACGGCTTGTCATAGAAATAGGCTTGGTAGAACATTTATTGTTTCCCCACTTTTTATCTCTGGGTGTGAGGTTTTTTCGGAAGTTTTGAAACTGAATCGAATTTTGATGTAATAATTCAAATTCACAGTTTATGTTCAAAGAGGCATAACTCTTACAGAAACAGTCAATTCAGGATGAGAAATTAAATCTAAGGGACTTTTTTTTCTCATTATGATCATATGGGAAGCGGGGGTGGATCTTTTTTTACAATTCTGTTTATTTTATCAGTCTGATTTTGCACAAAATAGGAAATTACTAAGAATCTAGAGTAAATGTATATGTACAGAAATAAAAATTTAGAAAGTACTTGTCTAACGCCTCTATGGCAATAATCCTGAAGAATATTAAAATTACATATGTGTACAATGAAATGGAAAATATACTTTTCGAAATTCGAGTAATATTCTGTATGCAAACTATGGCTTTTTAAAAATACAATCGTTATGACTTCTCTGTATAAAGCATGCAGTTCTTCAGTGCAAAAGCGCTTGGTTTCGGGATGTGGTGTATTTTGTGCATCGTGTTTTTCTAGGCGTGTCTGAATCCTTTAATCAAAATAAAAATAAAAAAAAAATCGCTGAAATTAGCACGTTTTAAAAATGTCATATAATTTAATATATATAACATTTTAAAACGCGCTAATTTCAGCGATTTTAT